AAAAAAAAGATATTATTTATATATTTACAAATATCTTTAATATTTTGCTTAATAGGATATGCGTCTTCTTGTTTCTAGTTAGTCTGTTGGGATATTTTGTTTTAATGTGCTGAAGGAAAATATGATCTTGTGCATACACACAGTTAGAAAAGGGAGAATTATTTTAATAGAGTTTTCAGAAAATTTGTGAATATTCATTTTTAATATCACACCATAACTCTTAAACTCTTAAACTCTGTTGCATTAAATGCACTGGCATTGAATTATCCGTATTTTGAATGGGTTTAGTGCATTATTTTGTAACATTATGCATTAGTCATTTGGAAAGTACTTTAGCGAAGTTATTCACTATTTCTGAATGTTCACATTTTTGAATGTTCACATATTTCTTTATGTAATATCAACAAAGGATTCTTATGAATGTCACAGCAGCATTTATCAGAAAAATCTCAAAGAATTCGAAAGTTGTCAAAGTTGCTATGGCAGACACAAGAGTTCTATAGTTATAATTTTTACTTGAAAGATTGAATTATTATTGGTAACAATTATTGGTAACAATTATTGACATTTGTTTTTTCTGAAGTGACAGGTTTACTGTCTTTGTTTTCTAGAAAATAACTGCAGAATACCACATCTGAATCACCATGGTTTGAAGTCTGCTTTGTCAAGTAAAAACAAAAAATAGTGGTTTATAATGAAAGCAGTTAATTCAGCTAACAATTTCAACACAGAATTGTTCTACCTTGAAGTAGCCATTGATCTTTATTAGGCATCAAAAATGCTTCCTGGGGCATTCCCTGGTGGTGCAACAGGTTAAAGCACAGCACTATGAAGCTATCTACAGCCACTGCAGCATGAGTTCGATCCCCACCATGGGGTGACCCGCATGGCGTGGCAGACCTCTCCTGACTACCCACTGCTCCCCTCAGCAATGCATTTTGTGGATCTGCCTTTTCTGCCCCACTCTGTCTCTGGTGAATCCTCTCAACATCCCTGCACTTCTAGCCTGTATGCATAAATAAATAAATCTTTTTTAAAAAAAAAATGCTTTCTGCATACTTTTCATTCAGTGACAAAACAGCATTGGCAAATATTTTCTATTAAGGGTCTGAGAATAAATATTTTAGACTTTGTGAACCTCTCAACTGAGTTTAAATTGAGTGTTGCAACTATCCAGCAGTATCATGTTAGTGTGAAAGAAGCTATAGACAATATGTAAACAAATTGACATGGCTGTGTTTCAATAAAACTTTATTTACAAAATAAGAAGCAGACTGCTTCTTATTTGCCCAGCAAACAGTAGTTTGATCACCCCTAACATAGAATATTTTTAAAACTGAGTATTTTAAGGTCAGTGTTTAATTCAATTACTTACTGCTCCCTAAGGACATGCTTTTCAGCAGCATCATATCTTTCATTATTCTTCTGTCTTTCAATAGCATCAGTTCGTACCTCTCCTTTTGATCTCTCTTCTTTTTTACTTTTCCTACATGTCTCAAACATACTTAAATGTCTCCCATCTTTAAATAACAAAAACCTTTGGACCCTCTCCTTTTTACCCCTGTCTGTTTCCCAAGACAGCAGTCTCCAGTTGTACATTCACATTCTATTCTTGGGGCTCAGTTTCTCAGGGCTTTCTGTGATATTTGACACAGTGGACTATAGTTGCCTCTTGAAGTTTTTGAAGCTCTCTTCTTGATTGATTTCACCATTTCACTTTCCTGCCCTTCTCTTTATCATTCTGTTCTTTTACTCTTCCACTCATCTCTTAAATGTTGGTCTTTTATGTAGCTTTCATTCTTTTTTTTTTATTTATAGCACATAATCTTCATTGATATTTCTATGATCTTTGCATTGCCTCTTCTGCTTGTATGATTTCAATTCCCATTTCATTGCTGATGGCTCCCAAATTTGTATCTAGGCCAAATGTCCCTCCTGAGCTTTAGAAGATGTTTCCAGTCCATTTGAGACATTTCAACTTAAAGCTCCAACAGTTATTTCAAATGTAGCATGTCCAAAATAGTTTATGTCTCCTTTGAACAATTACCCTCCTAGATTAGTAAGAAAGTATTCATTGAACCCCAAACCTAAAATCTGGAATTGTACAAGAATTTTCCCCACACCTCTAAATCCATTCATTCACTTGAAAATCTGTTGTTTGTGCCTCCTAAATGTCTTTCTGCACCCTCATGACATCCCTCTATTTTTACTACCTTTTTATTACTTCAGAGTCACTTTATCTCTGACTCTCAGTTTGGCTTTCTTATTTACTCCTGTCATCTTTCCAGGACACGGTGATTATTTCTTATCCTATGCCTGTTTACCTTCCCACTAGTATTTAGTACTTGCTAACTAATGTGATTATCTGTAAAAGTATAACTTTATTGATACATTTCTGCTACTAGACTTTCAGTGGTAACTCTTGGATGTGAAGTCCAGCTCTCTAAATAAAATGTCATATGTGAGATCCTCATTGGGAATTCCCTAGATCTGTAAGTTCCTCTCCACAACTTGCCTGAACTTAGCTAACACTATGACAACCTCTTATAGCTCCATGTTTTGCATGTTCACTAAAAATGTCTTTTTCACTCACCTCCCATGTTATAGCTGACTTTAGTGTCCCACTCAACTTCTCTCTCTCCATGGAGACTGTCCCAATACTCCTCTGTATTCTCACAAGTCAGTGCCTGTACAGCAGTATTTACAAACATTTAGTTTGGGTGCTCACTTTGTTTAGACAGATTGAAATTCTTATACTAGATCCAAAAGATACTAATTATTATCTTCATTTTAAAGATGGGGGCCTTAATCAATGAGACAGCAAGTCTTTTTCCTAGATTTGTACACGTAGACAGGGGGTAGGCTGTCTCAGACTTGCATTCTTTCTGCTCTGTCTCATTGCCTCTCTCTACTCATCTCTTGCAGGAATGTCACTATTATCTAAGCAAGTATTTGTCTGCTCTGGCCAGCAATGTATTTCTGTATTCCCAGGACCCAATTCAAAAAATAAAGGAATAGAAAAATCACCAGGCATAAAGTAATCCCATGATACAGTTTCAGAAAGCAATGCCATATCATAATTTTTCTTTTTCAAAGAGCTTCATGCATATATGTGGACTGGTGTGTGTCTGTACATTTTGTTCAACAGATGTTTATTGTAGACAGCACTCTCTGAGTGCTGTACAGAAAACAGGGACTGATATGACTGTTTCCATCTTCTAGGAGCTCTGGTATGGTAGGAACTTATGACAGATATCATTTAATCTGAACATCCAGCAGGAACAAAGTGTGTTGAGCTTTAAAGGAGAAGGAGGTCACACAGGGTTTTGCTTAAAGGAAATCAGAAAGATCTCTGAAGGATAAGTGGAATTATAGTAGTGAGCGAAGGATGTTAAGGAGATTGTGATAATAATTGGAATTTAAAATAATAGAAGAAATAAGCAAGATTTGGTCCATTTTTAACTCTGAACAATTATTGGTAACTTTGAGCCTTGGAGTTAAGAGCTCTTTCAGTGGTAGAGTATCAATTCTTTTTTAAACCTATTTACTATAAGATCCATGCATAAAACATATAACTTAATGATTAGTGAATTGGATTTTGAGTAAGGAAAGGATAGCTCTGCATTGTTACGTGAGATTTCCCAGCAACTGGTATCACCCACTGTCCTGTGTAGGGTGGGTGGGTGTGGTCATCCTGAGCTATTGAAAGTATTTTCTTATGTCTGCAGCTGCCCCACCTGTGACTCAGTCTTTTCCTCAGCACATGCTCTTCAGTTGCCTCAGCTAACTTCCTAACAGCACTCCACTCGTCATTGTTTTTCTGAATGCTGAGTAATCCCTCTGGGCCATTATATAATACTTGTTTTCTGAGGTACATTTGGAATCAACACCAGTAACATGTGGATTGGATAGTGAATGTGGAATAACATTTAATTGTGTTATAAATTGATGAACATAAGACTTAGCCTGGAGTTTTCCAGCCTTTGAGTTTTTGATGTAAAAAAAAAATTAGTGTCAGGGAACAGGTAAAATTCAGAAGGGCATGTAGAAGAGAATCCAGTAGGAAAAAATAAATTTAAAAATATGCATTGAGTAAATAATGTATTTATATACCCATGTATAAAAATATTATTTTAAAAAAAGTTTTATTAGATACTAAATTAGTTTTTGACTCATTTACATAAACAGTTCTAAATATTTAAAATTTGAAATGAATCAATATGTAATGATAATGTTATTGATCCATATCTTCTGTTTTCATAGATTTGATCCAGGCTACCAATGAGACCAATGTTAATATTCCTCAGATGGCCGACACGCTCTTTGAGCGGGCAACAAACAGTAGCTGGGTGGTTGTATTTAAAGCTTTAGTCACAACACATCATCTCATGGTGCATGGAAATGAGGTAAACTAAGCAAAATTAACTCTTCTGTTTCCATTGGGGGAGGGAGAGTTTTATGGAAGAGTATGATATTATACTTAGGGTCTTTGAGTTTAACTAAGTAACAGAAAAATAAGAGACTATCTATGGTTCAAAATCAGCTAGGGTGCAATTTAAGTCTTCCTTTCAACTTTGTTTTCCAGAGTGTTAAATTAGACCTTTCTTTATGGGTACCTATAATCAGTATACCATGTAAATGTATTAGTGAGGGAAACATGAGAAAAGAAGGGTGAAGTCTTTTAACAAGAAAATATTAATTAAAAAGTATTTATTTTATTGATATGTTTGCTGGACCCTATTAAATTTTAGTGTTTCCATTCTAAATAGAAATGAAGGATCATAGAGTTTAATTCTAATTCAGCAAGCACTTTCAGTCATTTTTTTCTTCCTCAGAAAGCAGTAAACTAGAAAGCATTATAATTGAGTAAAAGAGATCACAATGAGAATTTGTTAAAATAAGTTCCTTTAGGGCCCTCCCTGGTGGCGCAGCA